TGGAGCTGGACATATCTTGAAAAATTTGTAAGGAGGGGTGTTCGTAACTAGAGGTACCACTGTAATCTGTTTGATTTTATTTGCATTAGTTTATGTTTCTGACATTTGAAACATGAATATCTAAAGGCTGCTTTCACAAAATCTCAAGTAAATGATTTTGTCAATTGCACTTTCACTTTTTATTCTTTCCCACTTCAGTCTATTTTATTTGGCTTTAGTTCATGTTTTTTAAAAAAGACATTACATGAAAATGTACACACTATTTCAAGACATGCATATTTGTAATTAAACATTTGTAATGGATTTGTGTACAATATTTTCTTTAGATATATTTTATATGCACTTTCCTTGTAATATATTTAATATATTTATTTTCTGAATGCTGTTTTTTTAAAAAAAACAACACTGAGTTTTCTAGAATTATACATGTTACCAATGACCTAAATTTCCATACTCCTTATGTTTTCACTACCCATTTACCTGCTCACTTCTCACTGCTGCTGCGACTGGACTGAGAATATGTAATGTAAATATCCTCTTTGCCAGTGCAATCTCCATGAGAATTGCCAGTGCAATCTCCATGAGAATCCATGAGAACAGAAATAACTTCTTTTGTTTCTTCTCCTACACAAAGTAAAAGTAACACCAAGAGCTTAGGATCACAGAATGCATGATCTGGAAAGGACCTTGTAAGTTACCTATGTTAACATCCTGCTCAGTGCAGAAATCCACTACCCAATTTCTCCTGGCCCCAAGAGATGGTCATCCACTCTATTTGAAAACCTCTTCCTAGCTTCTTCCTGTTGTTTTGCAAAATACCAATAGTTAATGAACCTGAAATTTAATTTTGATTAATACATAATTCTTCACTTTCCTTGTCTTTAACACTTTACTTCCATTCTTCAATGACTAAGAATCTGCTCTAATCTTAAGCAGAATTTGCAACGCTGCTAATCAAAGGGAAAATACGAAAGTTTTGGTCCATAAATGTTAACTCACATTTACAAAACAGAATTTGAGATAGAAGCCATGGTTCAATCTACAAACAAAATAGGTAGATATGTTTAAGTTACTGGGCCTGCTTACAGTTAAAAATAAAACCATTTATTTGAAATTATTAATACTCCTTCAAATTATCTGCATCAAACACCAAATGTATTACTCAGTTGTTTAAAATCTAAGCAATACACAAACCTGGCTTCTTGGTGATTGCTTTGTCTCTTGAGTCCAAATCCTTTTCATATGTTTTTTTTAATCTTTTGTTTGCAATACTGTGTATTTTACTTAATAATTAAACAGTTTTGATTGCCTACATAAACTTTTTAAAATAACATGTGAAGATCAAACACACACATCAATGAAGTTCTTGAAATGTTGAAAAGTGATATAATACTTGATACATGAAGTGAAACAATCACTGACAACCAGAACCTCATGTCTCCAGGTGATCATTGTAATCCTTGTAATAGAATCACAGGTATTGTATTGCACTGTCCAAATCAGCATTTAAAGGGCTTTACTAAGCCTGCTTTTATTGTCCAGTGAAATGTAGGTTTCTCTCAGCAATATGATACAGCACATACTTGATACTTAAAGCAGTTTATAATGACCACATCTCTTCTCAGACATCCTTAGGGGCTTAAAGATTACTTATTTTCTTTCATGCTTTCCAAAAACAAGCCTATTTTTATAGACAATGCATGTTGGCGTAATAAAATTCAAAAACAGAGGGTGGGTCTATTATAGTAAATTTGGTTTCCAGAATTGAAAATATCTCCACTACATCAAAGAAGAGCAATGAAAGCATGTAGTGAGGAACTCTCAGTGGCAACTTTCCAACTCTGTTTTTTTTTCTTATTAGAGTTCTACAGTATTTAGGAATTTTTACAGAACAAATATACTCTTAACTGCCTAATATAATTACAGAAACAGATTTTTTTCTTTTAATGTTTTCAAGTAGATGAACTCATTTAATTATGAGAGGAAATGAACTTAGTAATATATTTACTTTTATCAGTGGTAGCTACTGCATCCAGAATTGAACGTAGTACAAACGTCCTCTACACCAAGTTCCTTCTACATGCTCCATACTAGATCTATTCATAGAAACCATTCTTCAGTGTCCAAAACCCAGTATTCCTCTTAATACAATGTATGGAAAAGACTTTCTGAGTTAAACTAAACTAGACATGACATTAAATAAATCTTTCGAGTTTCTGTACAGGACTTGGAAAATTGTAAACAGCATCAGTTGTAAGGATTGTGACAACAATTAGATGGAATTTAACCATTTTTTTACCCCAACTCCACTCTCATGGAAAAATCACACACCCAAAAGTGCTATCACAGAAGCTTTAGAGCAAGGATTTTATTCTGAAACTTTCTTATATAGCTGCAGCTTTTCTACATCTATAATAATCCTTGTTTCAAAGAAGTGATGAGAGAACAAATTCAGAAATAAACTTAATAATCATTATAAACTAATCAATAAAAAAGCATCCTGAGAGAGGAGGAGACAAGAGATCCTTAGATAGAAATTACACTGCTCCAGGAGCCAGACACTGGGCTGTTCTAAATGCCTTCTTGGCAGCTCACAGAATCCAAATTGAAAATTATGAATAAAATTAAATGCGCAGATCATGTTTGATGAGTGAAAAGAAGGAACTGGGTTTCTTTAATCCTCTATTTCAATCTGTCTGATTAAGCCATGTGAGATCTGATCTCAGACTGTTCCATGTGGACAAATAACTTATTCTTCCCACCATAAGTTACAAGCAACTGATTTTTTCCACATTACTAGAAGATACCAGCTGTCTGAGTTTTTTAAAAAGATATTTATTAGCTATTTAAAAAATTAAGAGGAAAAAAATTGTACTGAACAATTACAAAAATTGGAGGATTAAGAAAAAGAAGAGG